AGACAGCGGGTCCACCTAAGGCCATGTGTCCTAAAGAGGTGGTTGGGAAATAATACTACACAGGGCAGGAACTTGAGGCCCTCAGTCGAAACTTTATCTATTACCAAGCATGGATCTGACAGCTCACTGCACAAAAGCCAAAATCAGGACAGTACGGGTGGGAAAGAGATCCATTTCATTCACGGAGCGGGGGCCTAGGAGATGAATGCTGTCGTCCTCAGTGCCTGATCCCAGGGAAGCTGGATGCATGAGAAGAATTTCACATGGGAAGAGAGGACGAGGTGTAGGGGGCAGTGGGCAGGTGGCTACCTCTGTGTGGTCTTTGTCATTCAGGGCATGTGGTTCCTTTCCATGTTTCTCTGGCTGTAAGATTGCAGTCTCCTACGGCTGGTTCCCATCATTCTCCAGACAGCTCCACTTTCTGCAAGTTAAACCTTGGAGCAGTTTACTGTGTCACCTAATGGAGAGAAGGGAAAAATAAGAAGTCTTGCTCATTGTGATGTAACTCAAGGTCACCATTGTTCTGGCTCTGAAGAGCTACATAAAGATCACTCGCAAGTATCCCCTTTTTATTTATGGTGCTGGGAATTGATCTCTGAGCTTTTGCGTACGAGGCAGGCCGTTCGCCGTGGAGCCACATCCTCAGCCCCGGCGGTTATCGTCTTAGTCATTTAGGGGTAGTTTATGTTTAGATGTTAAAGTGTCAGGCTAAGGGACCAGCACTAGCCTTGCAAAGGAGGAAAGGGGCGGTAACTGCAAAGGGTGCCTCACAAAGGCGCAGCCGTTGTTCACTCCCAGGCTGCATGGCCCCCAGGGATGTCTACCCACAGTGGAGAAAAAGGCTGTCGTATCCGTTAGTCATTCATACATCCACAGACACGCGCGAATCACCTGCTGTGCCCAGCTGATCTAGACACCGGGAACATACTGGTAAAGAGAGAAGCAAGGGCTCTGCTGGCACGGTGTTTACGCACCAGCGAGGGAGACGATGACGAAATGAACACACAATAGACAGGGAAAAGTCGCCATCACCGTATGGGTGGGGAAAGAAGCGTTTCGTCCATCCATCATAGACTACTGTGGGTCAGGGGCGCTCTTCCAGAGCTGGGGAGCACTCAGGGGGTTCAGGCAGGAAGGAAGGGAGGCTGCAGAAGTAAGTGTCGTAGGGAGAGGCAGGGTGAGAAAGCTGGACTGGAAAGTTGTAGAGGACTTCACTGCTCACTTGGGAGCACCATCTCAAAGCCCTGGTCTACCCCAGTACTTTATTTCCTACCTTGGGAGAAACGGAAGTTTGGGGTGTGAGCTCCCAACACCCTATCTTTTCTCTGGTTCTGTTCAGCATCCCTCCTCCCCTGACCCTTGTCCTGGTTTGAAAGGGCGGCCTACTATGGATTGTCTCCGTTCTGAAGCCTCTCCTCTCTCTTCCACCCCTGCATTTCATTTTTCTCCTCCCTTCTGGAATCTTCACAGTCAATAACAAGATGAGGCCCCATTATAAACAAACAGCACTCATTGGGCCTCAGACCCTTCGCTTCTTGAAATTCAGGGTTTTCCATTCCAGAAGGGCACCTTCCCCCTTCATTTCCCATAACAATCCCTCCTCCTAAGTTCTTCCTCATTCCATCCCTCACCCCCATCTCCCCCGAACAACAGATTTATAGATTCTATAAATCTCTGAGACTACGGGCGGGATGACTCGGAGCTAGGGAGCAGTGCGCATGCATTCTGAACACTGGAGCAAGGACGTGTTATGTGGTAGGGAGGGGACACGAAGCAAGGAGGACAGAGAGGCTTCCTGGGTCCACTTTATCCCCTCGGAACTGCATTTCAACATCCACATTACATCAGCTATGACTGTCCTCCGGGACCCTAGAGAGCCGAGTCCTGAGAGGAAAACAGAGGCACCAGGGAGTTAGTTTGTCTTCCTCGATGTGAAGGCAAGCGAGTTTAAATGAAGAGGAAGTAGAAACAAAGTCAGCTTGCAGCCTTGCTGGTGAAAGGAAACTTGTGCATTGGTGGTAGCCATCCAGGGACCAGGACAAGAACGGGGGAGCTCTCTGGGTTCAAGGTGTGTTTTCAAGGCCTTTCATCCCATCCAGTTCCTGCTGCCGCCCCCTAGGGCAGCTCCAGGGAATAGGCACCCTGCAGACCAGCCGCATGTGGGGCTCTTCACTGAGGCCACAGAACCTTCTAGGTGGCCTGTTGAATATGCTGATACAGAGCCACAGGTCAGAATTGGAAGTGGAGCAGGTCACGAGACCTTGTAGTTCAACACATCTTCAAAATGTCCCAGGCAATCCAAAGTTTCTGAGATACCCAGACTTAGTGGTCAAAAGTTAAGGTCCTAGAGTCAGACAGACTTGGGTTTGGCTTCACTTATTTGCTCTGCAGTCTTGCTAAGCTCTCCCAGGCCTTTATTTTCTAACCTGTAAAATGAGAAAATAGTGGTGAGTACTTAGCACGTAGAGCTATTGCGAGGATTACACGTGTTGTGGCATGTAGAGTAATGAAACTCGTGGAAAGTCAGCACGGTCTCACTACGTAGTCCCGGCTGACCTGGAGCTTGATATGTAGAGCAGGCTGGGCTTGAACTCACAGAGCCCCACTGGCCTCTGCCTCTTGAGTGCAAGGATCAAAGGCGTGCACCACCACACCTGACTACAGTTGGGTATTCTGTGTGTCCTCATACTGAGGTTCCCTTTATGGGCAGCGAGTTGCAGTGAGACCCTGAAGTCTTGCAAACATTGGAAAATTTTAGCAACGGTTCTGCTTTCGGTTCTGTTATGAAGAGAAGGATTTTGTGGGTTTCATGTCAAGGTGGCAGAGGAAACAGAGTCCACACTCTGGTGTCTGAGCTGGAATCTCAGGTTGCCAGTCCGCAAGTTTCTTAACCTGAGTTCTGCTTCCTCTTCTGTGAAACGGAAATGTGGTCATCTCTCCGGTCACAGGTTCTACATCAATGGATGCAGCCAACAGAGGATTGAAGGTTTTCCAAAACACCAAGCGCCTGTGCGTGGAACATGTACACTCTTTACCCTGGTCATTGTCCCCTCGACAACACAGTGTAGCGTTGCCTGCAGTGTTCTAACTGTTGTGAGTAGCACAGGTGATCTCAAAGGCCCCACTTTGGCTCTGAGAGCCCTGCTTTACCCCAAGCATGAGTCCTGCTTTGAGGACCCCTCTGCCTTGATGACAAAGATTACTTCTCCAGTGTGGTAGCCTGAGAGAGACCCTGTGCTTCGTGACCAACATGACAACACCAGCACCGGGCAACTGACTTCTCACCGAAGATGACAGAATCAATCCACTGTTTCCCAAACTCCTTCTTGAACTACCACAAAGATGGGAAAATATTTTTGAAATGTAGTAATATAAGCCCATGGGTGAGATTTAATTCAAGAGGAGTGAGCATGGTATCATCTGTGTCATAGCCCTTGCCTTCCTCAAAATGCCCACATCCAAATTCCCAGACCCTGATTATGCCAGAGCTCATAGTAAATGGGAATCAAGACATCTAATTAGCTGACCAAGGTGTGGAACTCATGCTGATACAGAGAAAATGTAGATGGAGGCTTTTCTGTCCCGCCTGGTCCAGCGGAGCCACTTTTAAAATAATCGCTCAGAGGTTTACTATTAGTTACAAACCATTCTGCATATTGCTCAGGCTTATTACTACATAACTCTTGCCACTTAAATTAACCAGTTTCTATTAATCTATATTTTGCCACCTGACTTCGTGGTGTTATCTGTTCTCCGGTATACCTTATTGCTCCAGAGGCTCCCTGGTATCTCTCCAACTTCACCCTTCTCCCTGTATCTCTGCTTGGATTTTCAATCTGACTCTATCCTGCCTGACTAGAGGCCAAAGCAACTTCTTTATTAACCAGTGGTAATAAAAATATATTCACAGCATACAGAGGGGTTATCCCACAGCACGTGATTATGCCAGAGTTCATAGTGAATGGGAATCAAGGCTTCTAATTATCTGACTGAGGTGTGAAAATCATCCTGAGTCAGAGAATGGAATCAGTGTAATCCCAAGAGTCCTTGCACAGGGAAGAAAGGCAGCGGAAGAGCTTGGGGGTAGATGTGACAACAGAAGAATGATCAGAGCATGGAACAGGATTGACTTTAAAGAGCGGAAAACGGTCACCAGCCAAGGACTGTGAGTGGCTTCTAGAAGCCAAAGAGATAAGAAAATAGATTCTCTCTGAGAGCCTCTGAAACCCAAGGCCATAGATAGTCCTTTGGTTTTAGACTGACAAGTAAGATATTCATGAGCTTCTGACCTCCAGAACTGAAAGATGACTTTTTAAACTTTATTTTATGTGTATGACTGTTTACCAGCGCCTACATGTGAGCATCGTGTATGTGCAGTGCCTGCAGAGACCAGAAGGCACTGGATTTCCCTGGAACTGGAGCCAGCCATGTGGGTGCTGGAAACGGAACCCAGGTCTCTAGAAGAGCATCCAGTGCCCTTAACCACATATCTCCAGCCAGCATTATAACATCTTTTAAAGATACGTAGTCTCCTTGTGCTGCCCAGGCTGGCCCCAGGCTCCTGGGTTCAAGTCATGCCCCTGGCCCAGCCTCTCAAATAGGCTGCCCTTGAGAAGTCTACTGTCCTCTAAGAGTTGTGGCCACAGCCTTGGGCAATCCTCTCAGACAGGCAAGTGTTTGTCCCACACTCAGCAATCCTGCAACCTACAGTCTTATTTACCGCTTGGCCTTATGCTGAGACCAGAGTAAAATTTGGTTTCTCTCTCTTTCCAGAGACTGCAACCCCCACCCACCTCCATCCCTCCACCCCCCCACCCCTGTGCATGTAATGCCCATATATCTCCTCCACAGAACACCTCTCCTGTCTGGAAGCACCTTGACTATTGAACTAGCCTGGTGGTCTCAGGTGACATCAGACTGGAAATGGAATGTGATTCTCTTTGGTCTCTCTCAGCTTGACAAATTACTCTGACCCACTGAAAAAAAATATCTCCCCACAGTCCACGGAGAAGAGGGCTGAGAAAGTGTCTCTCCACAGTCCACAGAGGAGGGAAATGAGAAAGCGTTCCTCCACAGTCCACGGAGGAGGGGATGAGAAGACGTTCCTCCACAGTCCACAGAGGAGGGGATGAGAAAGTGTTCCTCCACAGTCCACGGAGAAGGGGGTGAGAAAACATTCCTCCACAGTCCACAGAGGAGAGGATAAGAAAGTGTCTCTCCACAGTCCACAGAGGAGAGGATGAGAAAGTGTCTCTCCACAGTCCACGGAGGAGGGAAATGAGAAAGCATTCCTCCACAGTCCACGGAGGAGGGGGTGAAAAAACGTTCCTCCATAGTCCACGGAGGAGGGGCTGACTGCAGAGCATTATCCGTGGTGGGCACTGAGCATTTGCTCTGGGGGATTGCCGCTACCATGTCACAGCCAGTGGTTCTCCTTCTAAAGCAGGGTGTGTGAACTCCAATTGGCCATTCCATGGTGACTTGAGACATTATTATCACCAGATGAAGGCCCTGTGACACAGAGAGCATTCTGGCCGTTCTGGATGACCTTGGGAAGGTCCCTTTTCCTTGATCTTTGCTCCCCATCTGGAGAACAGGGTGAGGGCTGAGGACGAAGTGAGAGATGGGAATACATTTCACAGACGTTCAGGGCCCTGGACACACTCGAAACATGGATGGCAAATCCAGTTTCATTTCTAAGAAAACTTAGAAGAAAGGAAAACCTTTAGCCCCTAAGCTACTCTGAAATGGTTCGTGGTTTCACTTCCTGGAAACATCATTCTCCCTCTGTCTTTCCCAAGAGTCTAGTGAAAATGCAATTTATTTAATTTTGAGACTTAAACAATGGTTTCCAGTGGAAGCACACCATATGGTGCTCTCTCTCTCTCTCTCTCTCTCTCTCTCTCTCTCTCTCTCTCTC